CTGAAACTATATGGAAAAAGTGCTCCAGGGTTCCATGGTTTGGTTGTGCCCCAGAGGGGTTTGTGACTCCCTCACACAACAACCACGATGCTCAACTCTTCTTTCTCTGTAGGTACACATAAGAGCAGGACTATCACCTCCCAGGGCAAGGCCGCGGCGCAGGTGCAGGCGCAGAGACCCAGCGGGCCCGCGGACACTCCCAGACGCTGAGCCAGGGCTGGCAGCCGGGCGTCCAGGTGTCCCAGGCGTCCAGGCACCGGGCTCAGCCTGCTTTCTCCCCCTCCCATTGGTAAATCTGCATGGCCGTGCGTGCGAGGCGAGGGAGCGCAAGTGCACCCCGATTTAAACGCCCACGTTCGGACTGGGATATAAATCTGTCAGGTCGTAAGTGGTAGAAGGTGATAGATTGGGTCGTAGGACAAGTCATGATGCACTTTTGCATAGAAAAAGATGTCCTGAGCTTCCTGACAACACAATACTTTACTGAAGGTGGCCTGGAAGCTGCTGAGCGCCGTGACAAATGAACCGTGCTGCCTCATCTCTGGGCTGTGAAAAAGGGACTCAGGAGCCCGTTTAGAAAACATTAGAATTTCTCCTACACAAAGGTATTTGTCTTTTTAAAGACACCTGACCTTTCTGGGCAAGGAAACGATGCACTCACGTGGCAACTAGCAGCAGCCTCCACACTGTTACCCTCAGTCTTTCCGAAGAAGCAGGCATTTTAGTCCCATGAGTGACTGAGGGAAGAAGCTTACAGAAATAGTCTTGGCAACACAATGCCCTCGATTTTGCCCAAACTGGCGATCCCTAATCAGGTACTAGTTACATGGTCATCACCACCACCAATGCCCATCGTTTCCGGGGTCCAGAAAGTCACCTGGGTGTCCCCGGTGGAGAAGGAACCTTGGAAATCAGTCCACTGCCATATTTTGGCTGGAGAGACCGGGGGTGGGGGGGGAGGTAGGATCTGAGAAGAGCTGGGATTCAAACCCATGTCTCTGACTTCCAGCCAGTGCTCCAGTTTTGACTCATTCTGCTGCCCTGGTGGCCATGAGCTCTGAGCTCTCATGCCCTGTGGTTGTCTAGAACACCAGGATGCCAGGAGCTAGCGAGCACAGTGCTTCGGGAAAAGACGCCGCTGTCATCGATGGTGACGGCAATGTGACACACCACCCGGCCGCGGATTTCCGAAACGAGGAAGGGAGAGCTTCAGGTCCGTGGGCAGCAACGCACTGTCGACAGCCAGATGGTCTTAGATCGAGACCTCAGAACGGATTTTCTCTATCCTAACTGGGCCACCATCCAAACAGGGAGGCCATGGCCTGGCACCTAACCGCAGCGCTCATGCACTGGGCTCCCTCGTGCTCCCCGAGGCTCAGGCTGGTCAGGTCCAGGTCCGCACGTCCCTGGAAGGAGCCAGTCAGGATGTATGCCCTGCGCTGTGGGCCGCTGTGCTCTCTGCCTCATGGTTGTCTTTGCTTTTTGTTTGCTTGCTTCCGGTCTCCATGTGGGACCCACCTCGGCAGCAGGTCACACTGTACACAGCGGGGGACCCCTGGGGAGCTCGCACCAGCCAGGCCTGCATCGAACCGGCTGGATGCAGAACAGCGGCTCCCAATGAGCATGGTTTACACGACACACTGAAACCTGGGGAGGGCCCGGCCAGCTTAAGGGATGAAAGGCTGGATGTGAACAGGGCTCCTCCTGGCTCAGCGCTTGCCGCGGCTAGCTAGCACTGCCCTTTCTGACAGTTCACCTTTCTACGCTGCACTAACAAAAGGGGCTTCCTTCCACTCCCGGCGCCCTCCCAGTCCCCTCTGCTACGGGGGCACTGGCTTCCTAGTGCTGGCTCGGAACTTCGGTTTCCAGCCGAGTTGAAAGCCTTCTTCTGTCTGTTCGTGCCTCCTTAGTATTTCTCTCCAGCGCTTTTAGCCCTAACTCCCCGTTTCATACTCTCTGCCTGCGCACAAAGGGGTTTCTTTCTTCTGCAAAGCCTGGCTGGCCCAGCCTCTGTGTGTGTGAAACAGCCCCAGAGGCAGACTTCCACGGCACTGTCACACGGCCCCTTCCTCGTACTGCTCTTCACTCCAGCCCAAGAGCATCCCAGGATGACTTAGGCCGCTCCCTCTCCCTCGTCCTCACACATCTGCACAGGTCTGGTATAAAAGAGGACCATGCCAGGGACGGCATGGCGGAGGCAGCCGGGGCCACATGGCTGACTGCACAGTTCGAGTCTGGGACCTGGTGCTTGAAAAACAGGCCAGGCCAGGGCCAGTAGATGGCATAGCAGTTACATCATTGGACTCCCACATGGTTGACTGTGGTTCGAGTCCTGGACCCAGTGGCTTCAAACTCATGCCAGTTACATGTGAGTGCATGCCCAAAATCCTGGGAGGAAAATGGAGGAGAAGGAATTACAGCATAGTCATTCCCTCTAGGGGGTTATTTCTTGCTTTCTGTCTCTCTGGTGAGCATGTGCACCCGATAGCAAAAATCTCTCAGAGAAACAAAAACAAAAACAGGCCAGGTGCGTGTGCATGTGTGCCTACAATCCCAGGAGGAGAATGGAGGGGAAGGGACCGTGGTGTGGCCATCTCCCTTGGGGGTGCTTTCTCACTTTCCCTCTCACTGTTTCTCTCTCTCCTTGGCAAGAACCCATGCCCAGTGGCAAGAATGTTAAAACAAAAAAAAAAACAAAACAAAAACAAAAACAAAAACTACCAAAAAATGTTTGCTTTTCTTTACTTAGTATATCATTAAACAGCAAATAAAAATACCATGACAAGTTGAGAGAGATGTCATGAAAGAAAAGAGTTTATACAAAGGGACTTCAAAAGGTGCATGCAAAACTGGAATTAAAATATGAGTTTGTTTTTCCTTTTTTAAAAAAATAACACATGTTTTCCAAGAACTTTTGGAAGGCCCTGTGTATTTTGGCACTTTTAATGAAGCTGTTCCTGCTTCGTGAACTAGGGGGCCACGTTTCATTCTGCACTGGGTCCCCCAGTGTACAGAGCTGGCCTCGGTGGACGGACTTCCCTGTGTCAGCCTCACCGCCGCCCACGAGCTCCTTCCTAAGCCGCTCAGTGAGCACTTCCCGGGCTCCCCGTGTGCCCAGCTCTGCGCTAGTTGCTGGGAATACAGGCAGAAGACGTGACCCTGTCCTCCAGCAGTGGCGAGGAATGTAATCCTAAAACTGGGGTTAGGACAGCGGTGACATCCTGTGACCTGCTTCGGAAAGCTTCTTGGTCTCCTGCTTCCATGGCGCAAACTGTCCAAAGCACTCCTACTGCTTCGCTTGGAGGAAGGCCCCGGAAGGTCGAGGTGCTCAGGCGACTGAAAGACCTCCCGGACAGCCCCCTGGGTGCTGCACAGTGCTCACGCAAAGCCTACAGGAAACCACACGGGCTCGGACATGTTTTGGACCAAGAGTCCAACAACGGACTCTGGCCCGACGCCCCCCTACGTGGACATCGCAGGCTGAGGTCTCTACCACCCGCACAGCCACAGCGCCCGGCCGCCAGGGCACTCGCAGACCACCTGTGGGCCCGGCACTCCCGCTCGCCCGAACAGCCTTACTGCTGCAGAAGCACCTTCCAGGCATTAACCAGTCTCCAGCCACCTTGGGAGACAGGCCAGACAGTGGTTATTAGAACACTTTTTAAATTTAAATTTTATTCTAGAGCATGAAAGAGAGAAAGCACTCTAGACAGGGTCCCAGATACTGTGAGCCCCTCTCCCCAACTCTCTAACTCTCATGGTCCTGGGTGTCCCAGGCCAAGCCAGGGATTCCAACCATGGCCAGCCTTGTGGCTTCCAGCACCAGGGACTATGCCACCACCGGGGCCTACTAGTGCCTTTGGCACGCAAAGCCGTGGAGTCCCAGATGGCCTGTCCAGGGAACAAGCTGCTGAGACAGTCAGGGCCACTGAGCTCTGACTCAAACCCAGGCTCCACATTCCAGCTGCGGCTTGCCGGTGCCAGCCACCCACGAATCACAGCCGACTCCACCCTGCCTACCACCCCACCACCACCCTGCTTCTCCCTCCACTCGGGCCTGTGCTCCAGAGTGCACTTAGGCCTTCTTCCAGAGCAGCCTCCTCCCAGCCGGCCCACGCACAGTCCAGCCTGTGCTGCAGGGCTCTGGGGCTCTTGCTGACGGTGCACAGGGAGCCGGGGGCACAGGTGAGAAGCCATCCTGCCCACCCGCGGCCTCTCGGTATCTCCCAGCTGGTGTACCCACGTGAACACCGCACACAGCACCGGTGAAAACACCACCCCTGCTCTCACACAGAGCCAGCTGTCCCTGCAGGGACAGACCCCAAACACAGGGCAGGGCCTACAGGGAGAGCTGTGTTCCTACAGACACGCAGACGGGACCTGCAAAATGCGTGGATACCCCTGCACAGGCAGACCACCCGCCGAGACAGTCGTGTGTGTGTGTGTGTGTGTGTGTGTGTGTGTGTGTGTGTGTGTGTGTGTGTGTGTGCGCGCGCGCGCGCGCGCATGTGTGCGCACTTTAGCAGACCCCTCGTGTTGCAGCCAAGGACGTCCGCATCTAGCTAAGAGGACAGTGAGCCTGTCACCTGGGCTTATGACGAGAGACAGCTACTGGAATTCAGGGCGGACAAAAAGAATGCCATTTTGCAGAGGGACTGGCATGAGCCAGACAGGCTAAGCAGCGCCAGGCCCGAAAGGCCCGGAGTTCCCTCCCCAGATCCCGGCGCAAAAAGGGGCACCTGGAGCTCTGTTACTGACACGCCTCAGCGTACCGCGTGCGCACGGCCACCGTGAGTGTCCAGAGGCTTCCTGGCCCTGCGCCCCTCCAAAGCTAGCTTCCCCTACCCACCAAGCCTCACCCACGCCAGCTCGGTAACCCAGGGGCGGGGCGGGCAGGAGAAACGGGGCGCTTGGCCAGGACCGAGTGCCGACTGCCTCCTTCCCGAGGCGCGAGTCCTAGTCCCACTCGGCGCACTTCTCCCGCTGCACCCCGAACTTACCGGCACCGGGCGCGGGGCTCGGGACTCAGCGACCAGAGCTGGAGCAAAAGAGAGGCGGAGCGCCGCGGCTTAAGGGCCACCCAGCGCCCTCCCCGCTGCTACTTCCCTCCCACCCGAAAAGGCCGGCGCCCCGAGCCGGCTCCACCCCCCGCGCCCCCCGGGCCCACCCCCGAGCCTGGCCAGCCCGCTCGCCCAGAAGCTCTGACCAGAGGGCGGGCTGGCGGGCAGCTGGCTCTTTGTTTGGGAGCATGCCTTTCTGCAATTCAGAGCACACAGAGCCCGTGGACTCGGAGTGGGGGCAGCTGTGCCGTTCCGGGGGCGGGGTGAGGTGGGGGAGGGAAGCCTTGCCTGTGCCCATGGTAGCAGGATAGCGGAGCGGGGATGGAGGGACGGACTTGGCGGAGGGGCTTCAGATCTGGCCTCTCTGTATCCGTCGAGGTGGCCCCTGATGGAGTGGGGAAAGCTGGCCTTGGGGGTTCCCTGGGACTCTAGGGACAGCCTGTGGGATTCCAAAGGGCCTCACCTCTCCCCTCCCCCGACTCCACTTTCAGTTCCTGGGCCCCAGGGAGGACAGAGATGTAGACCGGAGCCAGGGAAGATCAGGCAGTGGAGCCCGGTCCTTGCCGGGTCTGCGGGCGCAAAGCGGCCTGCGCGTGGAGCTGCCCCAACCGCAGGGCAGGTCTGTGGGTTATTTTCCAGAGCAACCGTGGCCTTTGCCACCAGCCCATTCTTCTGAAAGCTGACGAGCAGGGTTACCCATTTACCAGTTTGCTAGGTCAGGGAAACCCCTGGTGCCCGACGCGGCTTTGCGGACTTTGGAGAGAAGGATTTGAGGGAGGTTCTATCAGCCAGCCTGTGCTCCCTGGGGCATCCTGGGTCTGCCTGGTCGGCACAGGGACCGAAGGCCCCTCTCCTTGCTTCCATGTGGACGTCTCCAAGGGCTGCGCCTGCTCCGTCGCTTCCCGAGGGATCCCGCGGGCCTCCGCTGTTCCCTCACTCCCTCGTGCTGTTCCCATGAGCACCCTCAGGAGGCCTCCCAGACCCCGACTCCATGCAGCCCCTTTCCTAGAAAGCCTATCTGCGAACTAGGCCCACTGAGAGCTGGTGAGCGAAAGAGAAGGCGGGTTGGTGGTCAAGACAGAGGTGAGAGGTGGCGTGGTGGTTAAGGCACTGCTTCCCCCATGGCCAACTGTGCAGTTCGAGTCCCACAACTGGCGCCTTGGAAAAAAATCACAATGTGTGTGTGTGTGTGTGTGCGCGTGTGTGTGTGTGTGCGTGTCCCCAATCCTGAGAGGAGAGTGGAGGGAAAATGATTGTGGCATGGCCATCTCCCCAGTGTGTGTGTGTGTGTGTGTGTGTGAGATTTTTCACTTCCCCCTCCTCCCCCCCCTTTCTGTCTCTCTCCGGCGAGTAAACGCACCCTGTGGCAAACTACTCCCCCCAAAAAGGAGGAAAAACCACACGCGTGGGGACGCATGGGGCAAGCCCGTGCTGTGACAGGGCCTTCCCCTGACCGCTCGCGAAGCTGTTCCTGTGTTCCAGGAGACGCCTTGTCAGAAAAAGTCAGAGAAGGTGGCGTTAAAGGAAAAGACTGAGCGGAAATGGGGAGGCCAGAGGGGGTGGTTCATAGCAGAATACGGGATTCTAAAGCTAGATGGAGAAGAGAGGGGTGGGGTAGGCCCGGAGGGGGCAGAAGGCTGGAGGGGGAAGGGGTGCAGCGAAGTCAGTGGTGTGAAGACAGTGCTCAGGACAGAGGGGTGGAAACAGGCCCGGAGGGACCGTCCGCAGTCTGAGAGGCCAGTGATAAGCGGACCGCTCTCCCAGGACGCTCTGGCGCGAGCACTTTGCCAGTGACATTAAACATCCAGAGACGTGAACCGGTGGAAATACGGCATGTGGTAATTTTCCAGATGGCGGTGCAGCAGGACTGCAACTGACTGGCATGGGAAGGTTCCAGTTTATGTCCCAGGGCCCTCTCTGTGCAGGCCCGGTGTGTGCCCGTGGCCCAAGCTGGCTGAGGCACTGAAGACTGCAGTGTAGACACCCTGTGTGTGTGTGGTGGGGGGATGCTGAGAGACAGACCCCTGCTCTGTCTCTCTCTCTTTCTCATGTGGAATAAAAATTTTCCAGGGCCCATCCAGGAGGCATGGTGGGTAAGGTGACTGGATCCCACATGGCTGAGTTTGTGGTTTGAGTCCTGGACCTGGTGGCTTGAAAATCACGCCAGGCACAAGTGCATGTGTGCCCAGAATCCTGGGAGGAGAACGGAGGAGAAGGGATTCTGATAGGGCATTCCCTCCTGGGGGGTGATGTCTCTCTTTCTCTTTCTGTCTCTCTTTGGCAAGCGTATGTACCCTTTAGCAAAAGCTAAAAATAAACAAAAAATTTCTAGGAGCTGCACTTAAAAATACAAAGAAAAGAAACAAGTGAAATTAGTGGTATTTTATTTAAAATAATATATATAAAATATGATCACTTACCACATGTCAATATAAAACTTATTACTGAGATGTTTTTTCC